CTGAAGCTGATCTGCCACCACCCTCTCAACCACTTTGCTGAGGAAGGAAACATTGGCGACGGGCCTATAATTGCCAATTTCGTCCGCCGCCAAATTTGGTTTCTTCCTAATGGGCCTAATGAGTGTCTCCTTGAGGGCGAGGGGGACCTTGCCCTCCTGGAGAGACCCATTAATTATTGCAGTGGCCCATTCAGTTGTTACCGGCCTGGCTGCTTTGATTAGCCAGGCTGGGCAAGGGTCGAGAAAAGAGGTGGTTGCCCGACAGCGATCAAGTGCCTTGCCTACCAAATCTGGTGTTACAGGCTGAAAGGAGTCGAGAATAACCGGGCAGGACGGAGCGCTGGACATCTCTGCTCAATCCATTGTGTTTAAAAAAGGAGAAAGGTCACGGCAGATGGCCTCCAATTTGGATTTAAAAAATTCTGCAAATTGGTCAGGTGAGATGCTAGTGGGAGGCCCTTCACCCTGACCAATTCCAGATAGATCGCGAACTATACGGAAAAGTTCTGCCTGCTGGTTGGAAGCTTCGCTTATCCGGTCAGCAAAGTAAGATCTTCTAGCAGCCTTTGCCTTGGCTAGGTAACGGTTAGTTGCAATCCTGATAGCTATCTTACTATAGTCCGTCAGTTTCTTTCTCCAAGCGCACTCTAGCCGTCTCCTTATTCTCTGCTCACTAAGTTTCTCTGCTCACTAAGTGAAATGTGAACATTTTTAACATTTATTCAGTGTTCTACTGTCTGCAAAGTCCTCATGTACTTCTCTGACTATGCAAGAAGAGAGAATGGAAAAGAGGAATGATATGTTCAAGAGTATTCTAGCAAAAGCAAATATCAATGTCAACTCTCAGAAGCTTGTTCAAATTGAACTTTGGCCCCATCCTATTGCTGGCTTTTCATCATACAGTTGGGTGTTAACCTAGTCAGCATAATTTATTGTTCTAGGTAAAACTGGGAAGAATCCACATAATTGGCTCTCTGTATCTTTCTCACAGGATATAATGGAAGCAGTTGAACCACATGGAGCTTTACAAGAGATTCACAGGAAGGAACTACCAGAGCTGTCTGATTTTTCTGCAGCAAAAGCAGGATGCAGCAAGAATGGGTGTCTCTTACATGTATCTTGCCCTTGACAAAAGTCGTGATATCTTCTTCATTGTCAAAGATGGCAAGAGTCTGCAGCAAGTTATTCTCTAACCATTCCCAGTGTTTCGTGATTTCTTTGCGTGTTGAACCTAAAAAGAAACCAAGAAATGATCATAAAACTGCAGTAGCTTTGAAAACAAATACTGCTAAACCTGTTCAAAAAGTTACATTTCTCCCACTTTTCTCCTCAAAATGTTTTTGTGCTACTTCTGCTAAGGAAACTTAATGCCATTTCAGTATATAAGTGGTCGACAGACTAGTATAATGCATATTCAAAAGGCAAACTTTAAGCTTCTTGTACTTACGTTTAAGACTAAACACTATCTGTGTCTGTTGCTCTTCCTCTCTGCACTACATACATTTGTTTCCTATCAGTCTATGTTCTTTTAGTTTGTTCTTTTATTTTATTCCTGCCTTTGTAACTTTCATTGTGCTCTCCCAACAGAGAAGAAGGACCTTCGCCAAATATCTGGTTTAAGCATTCTTCCCCCTCTCCTCTGTGTTTTGGCTGGGAAACTGAAAATATTGAGGACAAGTCCATTGTGTTTGGGGACAAAGATATTTTTGCCACAAGAGAATTTTTAATTTCTTTTTTAAAATCTTGATCAACTGTTTTTTGATCCACTTCATAATATCATCTGGGATTAAAGCTCTGAAGATAATAGCCATACACTCATGATCCGCATTTATTCCATTTTTATGTCATCTTTCTCCAAGTCCTGGGACCCAATTCAAGCTACAAATTATTAAAAAACAGAGGAACTAAAAACAGAATAAAATATTGCATTAAAAATAATTAAAGAACTACTTGTCAAAAACCTGTCTAAAAAGGATGATCTCCATCTCCTTCATCTGGAATGACAAAAGAGAGAAGGCCACCCCAGACTCCAAAGGGAAGGCATTCCACAACCTCGAAGAAATGCCAGAGAAGGCCCTTTCTTGCATTCTCACCAGATATTCCTGTGAAGGCAGCAGGACTATGAGAAAAGATCCTAGGACTTGAGAAAGCTCAGATGAGAAGAGAAAGGTCTTCAGGTAGTTTCGATCCTGCCCTACACAGCTTTATAGGTCATAACCAGCTCTTTGAACTGGGCCTGCAAATGGACCAGCTGCCAGTAGAGCTGTTTATTTATTATTATTTTATTCAAAATATTTATACCTCACACTTTCTCCTCAAGCCCTGGTCAGCAACCTGGCTGCTGCATTTTGAACCAACTGAAGTTTATATTATATTATATTAATATCTCATATACACTTTTTATATCAATACAAACAGAATGTAATAAAGACATGTGCCACTATATATCCAGATTTTATTTCTTAGCATTAGCTCTCTTTTTTTTCAAAAAAGAAGAAAGAAAATGCACTCTCGCAAATCCTCTGCAATCTGAGGATGTACTGGAAGAAACAGCAAATACGCACTGGTAACGATTCCCCTTTGCAGGGAGGGGGAACTTTTGCTTTCTCACTTGCTTGGATGGAGAACAGTACATACTTACCACATGCTACTGCCCAATAAATCTGAGAATCTTGTGTTTGGTGTAAAATCCTGTAAGGAGCAACTCTAGCACTGGAGTCCAAAACAACATCTAATGTTCCCACAAGCAATCCTAAAAAACACAAAGGATACAGAGAAAAACATGACAAAGGTGGTCTGTGTGAGAGAAAAATGAGAGAGAAAAATGATGGAATGTGTTAGAACAGTGGTTTCCAACTTTTGAGTAACCCAGATGTTCCTGAACTGCCACTCCCAGAAACCCCAGCCAGCACAGCTGGTAGTGAAGGCTTGTGGGAACTGTAGTTAAAGAACTCCTAGGTTACCCTTTGGGTAATTAAAAAAATCAGTATTTTAAAATAGAATCACATGCATTTTTACTCTGTCAGTTCTACACCTAAGATTGTAAGTAGATTACAAGTCTAATTTTCAAGTTTGAGAGAGAGAAACTAGCATCACCCCCATTATCCCACTGACAAATTTCCTGAGAGACTGTAGTCCTTGGGTGATAAAGTTGCTCCATGCCTGGTAAAAAAATTCTGCCACCAATTATCCATCTACAGCCAGAACTTTGAAGTGTTAAAAACTGATATATTAAAAGAACCTTCCTTGCCACGGTGGCACTAAATAGCATAAAATGGTAATGCTAATATGTTGATCAAAATGGAGATAACACAGAAGAATACAAAGAGATTGCAGTAGAAGTAAACAATGCTTTGCTATTTCAGAAGTCAGGGCCAGTTTCCCCATTCTGGAAAACTAGGTGTGAATTCACTGGCCATAATTTGAGCATCTTGAAAAAAAAATGTAGTGTCATAATTTAAATGTGGGGCGGGGCAAGAAGACAAAGGTATTTTTCCAATATTACAAAGAGGTCATATAAAAAGTATATGTTGTTTATATATGGTTTTTAGTCTTTCATATCCCAGCTATCACTTTACCAAAGAACCCAAGTCCCACCATTATAGACTCCATCCTCTCCAAATAAAACATGTATTTTCAGAGGCATTTTGTCATTATATTTATCATATCTGTTATGTTTCTGGGCAGGAGAAACGGGGAAGAAGATACACTGAACATCCAATGTTACTACTAACATGCCAGATTAGCCATGTTACAGACGGCTAACCTGTGATACACAGGGGCTGTAGGATATGGCATCTGATAAATGCCAAAGGACACTGGGATTAAGGAAATGTGAATTCTTAATAATCACGAGGAAAACCCTGTAGCCCATATAAACCAGGGGAAAGAGTCCGATCATCAGATACCTACTAATCCAGTGAACATTTACAGTTAATATTTTAAAAATGCAGCTACCAGCTATATCCAGTAGGGTTAAACATGCATATACTTCTTATAAGAATGTTCAGGCCACCCAAGTTGTTTAACCAGGCCACCCAAATTATTTGATTATGTGTGTGTGTGTGTGTTTAGTCGTTACACCCAAATTATTTGATTATGGCACATATGTAATTCAAGATGTTTCTGCTGGCCCTTAACAGGGCCTGAAGACTGCTGTTTTTGTTTTTTCAGTACACTACCCTGTTGTTATTCTATGCCATCAACTCAGAATTTACATATAACAACCCTAATAGGGCTTTCAAAGTAAGTGATATATTTAAGGAGTCGTTCTATTAATTCCAGTGAGTTTCCATGACCAGGTGGGGATTCAACCCTATTCTTCAGATTCCTAGCCCATCACTCTATCCACTACACCACAATAGGAATCTACACTATCACAAAAAAGGTAATTAATCTAAAATTTGGTTCATTGAGCACCCAAAAATACTCTAAAACATTGTGATCTTTACGCCACAGCAAAGGCTTACACCACAGCAAATGCTATCATTCCAGCACAGAAGAAATGGTAGGGCAAAACACTATGCTGTTGTAGTCCTGTATTTTCAACAAGCCTGAACATGGGCATTTCTACCAGCAACCTGGAATACTTATGCAGACAGAATAAAAGCTCCAACTATGAGCCAAATGAAGAAAGATGGCTGGTGTATAAATGAATACTGTATGATGCTTTTTTTACATATGCATTGTTACTCACCCTGAACCTTTCAAAGGAGTTGTGTTCGTCCACTTAATGTTGGGACCAAAACATGTAATATTGTTTACTTATATGAATATTTGCAAGGCACACTGATGCAAGTACCTGAGCCACCTTTCCCTAGTTTATGCACATTTAACTGACTACTTCATGAGAGATTTGGCTTTTCTGAACGTTCAGCTACATTGGAAAACATTCCATAATTTGTTTCAGAATTGGCACTAGTATATTCAAATCACCTTATTCACAAATCACATGATCATATTATTTTTTTATTTCTATTTTATTGAATAACAAACATAAAACAAAACAAAAAAATATTTTTTTTCTAATTGCAACCATTCAATGCCCGTATAATTGTTTGTTTCGTTCTACCAAAAAACTGGGGTGTGTGAGTTTGGGTGGCTTTCTGGTGACATAGTAAGTTGAGGCATTATATTTTGGGACAGCAGGAACACACATTTTGGGACACACACTCCTTCAATCTTTTTCCCTAGTTTTCCCAAAGTAATTTTTGTTTATTTTTAAACAAACCATTGTATCTAGTGCTAGATCACCTTATCACTGCATTGCTACATTAGTTCAGTGCGAGATAATCTCTGCACAGAGAAAAAAAAGAAGATAAAAACTGATATAAAATCAAAACAACTCTGACAAACTCCAACAGACTACAATGTTTTTGTGGTATGTGTGTATGCATATGGAATTTTTTTTTAAAAAAACGATCCCTTTTCCCTACCACCATGCAACCCTTTAAACCAGTGGTTCTTAATGTGGGCAAT